AAAAAAAAAAAAAAAAAGAGGAGATTGGCATCGGATGTTAGCTCAGGACTGATCTTCCTCACCAAAAAAACAAAAAAAGACAAACTAATTATAAATGTGTACCTAATAAAAGAGCTTCAAAATACATGAAACAAAAGCAGACAGAACAAAAGGTAGAAATAAACAAATCCACAATTGTGGTTGAGATTTTAACTTCCCTCTCTCAGTAACTGATATAAAAAGGAGACACCAAATTACTCTGAATATGGAAAATCTGAACAACACTATCAACTGCAGTGATCTAATTGACACATAAAACACATACTCAACAACTTTAGAATACACATTCTTTTCAAGTGCACATGGAACATCCATCAAGATAACTCATTTTCAGGGCCACAAAACAAGTCTTGATAAATTTTAAAACACTGAAATTTTACAAAGCATGTACCCTAACTGCAAAGGAATTAAATTAGAGACTAATAACAATAATATATCTAGAAAATTCCTAAATATTTAAAACTTAAACAATACACTTCTAGATAACCCATGGAACAAAAAGGAAATTACAAGGAAATTAGAAAATATTTTAAACTGAATGATAATTAAAATGTAATATATAAAAATTTATGGCATGCAGATAAACCAGTGTTTACAGAGAAATTTATAGTGCTAAACACTTATATTAGAAAGGAAGAAAGGCTTAAAATAAATAATCTAACTTTCCACTTTAAGAAGCTATAAATAGGTGATCGAATTAAACTAAAAGCTAGTAGAGAGAAGGAAATAATAAAGATAATACTGGAAATCAATGAAATATAAAATAAACCATAGAGAAAATTAACAAAGCCTAGCATTGGTTCTTTAATTAATAAAATTTATAAACCCACAGTAAGATCAAGATAAAGAAAGAGGAAACACAAATTACTTTTATCAGCCATGAAAGAGCATATCACTATGGATCCTAAAGACATCAAAAGGATAATAGGAAAATTTTAAATGACAGAAGGAATAGCAGTTTGGTTCTGGTTCTAGGTAAGATGGATTAAGTATATTACATCCTGTCTCTCCCACTGATTATACCTATAAAGCCTGCACAGAATGCATGCATAGAGTAGCTATTTGAAAATACTGAAAAGTAAACAGTAGCAGGCAGATTGAGGAAGAGGAGAATTCAAAGTGCCAGCAAGTCAGCAGTGAATTTACTCTTTTTCTTCCAGTATCCCCTGACCTGAACTCAAGGCAACTCGAAACTCAGAAATGGGTCCTGGGGAGTAAACAGAGAGATCTCTAGGAGAAGCCCTATAGTTTTAGTTCAAAGACCTTTTTTCTTCTTTTCTTTTCTCCACTCTCTTGAGGCCCCATCTCCATGAAATCCTGAGGTAGTCGCTGCAGTAGCAGCAACAGTATCGACAGCAGAGCCTGACAGAAACTAAAGCTCTGAGGGAGATGAACCTTCCTCTTCAAGTGGAGGAGCTGTGGTCCCAAGAGGGTGGAGTGACCCCCCTGATACTTTTTTCTCTCCGTGACCTCCTGCCATTTGGCCCTGGAAGTGGGTATAGCTGCAGGAAGTGTGCCACAAAGCAGGGTAACTAAAGCTTTTTCAGGCCAGAAGCCTCAAAAAAAGGGGGGAGGGGGCAGGCCAGGAACCAGAAGAGAAAATACAAGAGAGGTTGTGGAGAGGAAGGAACTTGGGAAAGTGACTCAACAAAGTGGATTATGGATTCCTGGGCTCACCCCTGAGCTATCCATGTGCAACTCTGACCCTGAACAGCTTACCAAAGACTTTGAGAACTGGATTAAGAGATCAATCACCAATGGAAAAGATCTACCATGCAGACACTAATCAAAAGAAAGCTGTAGTGGCTCTGTGAATATCAGACAAGGTAAACCTCAGAACAAAAAAATTCGAGTAAGAGAGATAAGGAGACATCACATAACGATAAAAGGGTCAATTTGCCAAGACATAACAATCTTAAGTGTATATGTACCTAACGACAAAGCTTCAAAATACATGAAGTAAAAGCTACCAGAAATGAAAGGAGAAATAGACAAATTCATAATTATAGTTTGAGATTTCAACATTTCTGTCTCAGTCATTGATAGAACTAGTACACAGAAAATTTACAAAGAGAAGAACTGAACAACATCAACCAAATAGATCTAATTGACCCACTACCCAAGAATAGAAAAATACACATTCTTTTGAAGTGCACATGGGACATTCTCCAAAAGACACCATATCCTGGGTCATAACATAAACTTTAACAAATTTAAAAGAACTGAAATCATATAAAGTATGTTCTCTGACCATATGGAATTAAAGTAAAAAATCAGTAACAGAAAAATACCAGGAAAATCTCCAAACAATTGAAAATTAAACAACACACTTCTAAATAATCCATGAGTAATAAAGGAAATCTCAAGTGAAATTAGAAAATATTTTGGACTAAATGAAAATGAAAATATAATACAATCATGCACTGCATAATGACACTTTGATCAACGATGGACTGCATATATGACAGTCCTCCCATAAGATTAGTACCAG